TCTGTTCTTTAAAGCTGCTCACTTTGTGTTATTTTGTTATTGCAGCCCTAGGAGACTAAGACGCTGTCTAAAATTAATAAATCAGGAAGTAGAAGCATTCTAAAATAATTCAGAATTATGATGGTAATCATCAGAAGAACTAAAAACAACAAAAAATTGTACTTCTGGGGAGTGACATTTAGGAGAGGGAAGACTCAGGGAGAATTTTACTTTTCAACTGAAACCTCTTGGTACTCCTTGAATTTTTCTACCATGAGCAGCTAGTATTTTATAATAAACAAATATTTAAGTTAAGGCATAGAAGAAAATAACATGAACGTCCCTTCACTTTGTACATTTTTATTCTTGAAAATTAGACCAAAAAAAAAAAAAAAAATCAGCACTTGTAGACATTCATTTCCTCTCCACCAAGTGCCATGCGCTGGGTGAGGTGTTGAGCAATAAACACAACAGACTCCCAAGGAGCTTACATTCTAGAGCTACACACCAGCACTGGGTTCTCCCTACTTCTCCAAAGCAAGTCTGCACCTCACAGGGCTCACAAGAATGAGAGAATACACTGTGAACACTGTACAGTTCTGAACAGAAAAAGGCCAATCTGGTAATAGTTTATCATTTGATATCCAAACTGTAACTTGACACTAAAATTAGCAAACTAAATGGTTATATTAACAGTAATATAGCTCTGTGCAGCTTCATAAGTGTTCTGATACCTCATTCAATCTTTACAACAATCCTGAAAAGTAGACTCTGTCCCTCTGTCCACCTGAAAGCTAAAAAAAAACGAAGCTCCAGGTAGGATTTAGCTGGTCAGGTTCACTAAACTAGTAAATGAGAGAACGAAGCCCATATTTCATCTTGCCATATATAATAATACATATTTCTTTTATATATACACATATACACATACATATAAACAATATGGAGCCCTGGTGGCACAATGGTTAAGCGTTTAGCTGCTAACCAAAAGGTCGGCAGTTCAAATCCACCAGCTGCTCCTTGGAAACCCTATGGGGCGGTTTTACTCTTTCCTACAGGGTCACTATAAGTCGAAATCAACTCGATGGCAATGGGTTTTTTTTTTTTTTAAATAAACAATATATAATATTTCTTACATAATTATACAGAAAATACATGTCTTATACTATACCATCTGTCTCTGTAAGTAAATCTGAACTTAATGATTTTTTTTAAAATCTAATCTGCATTTGAAAATCAACTGTAACTAGGGAAGACTGAAATGCTTTACACAATCACATGGCTGCACTGCACTTTGGCAAAATTTTAAAACGTAATCTTCGTTAAAATAAAGCTGAGTGAAAAATACTGATAAACAATTAACAGCCTACAACGCTTAAGGAATACAGTCACGCGTCACTTAACGTCCACAATACGTTCTGTGAAATAGGACGTCATGCGATTTGGATGTTGTGCGAACACATATTACATACTGGCAGTCTCCAGGTTACAAACGTCCGACTTATGTACAATCTGTAGTTACAAACCAATCCCTATAAAGCCTATCATATTAAAAATTCAAGGTACATACAATGATTTGTAATAACAAACAGGCACTACTTTTCGACATGCATCAAAGTTATATGCGATACTGTAGTGTACCTGTATTGAATAAATAGTCAAGATACTATATAGATATAGCATTTTATTTCAGCTAGCGTATGTGGCTGTTTCATTTGCTACGTCTGGGTACGTCCACTACGTCCCGTTCTCTGATGGGACTTTCTGAACTCTGTTATAGCCTTAAGGGACCATGTACGTATATGTGGTTGGGCTTTGCCCAAACAGACATTATGCAGCACATGACTGTATTCCCAATTGTCACAAACAGCTAATAAATTATAGATTCAAGATTATTTCAAGATAACCCTATAGGGCCTTCCATTAGATTTACATTGACACTGTCGGATTTATGGCTCTTTTGTAGCTTTAATATTGGGAAACATTCCAAAGCAAAGGCAGACAGCATTTCTTCAAAGTGCATTATGTAAGTTATCTGCAACCTGTGGTTTGCTGGCAACAAGATGGAGATTAAAAGCTATCACACTGTCTGACCAAGTCACTTTAAGATTCTAAATTAGAATTGGAAATTAATTGAAATTTTATAGCTCATCCACGGCAACAAACTAAATGACATTATTTTTTAGGTAGTACACTTCTACCTTTCAGAAGGAATTAAGTTTTACTTTAATTCCACAACTACAAGAACACATCACCATTTAACCAGCAGTCAAACACAAAAATAGAATACCACTAAGAGTGCAATGTTTGCATCCTTCTTTAACAATTTTTCTGCAGATGGGATTGCAGGAAAGGAATTTCACTCAGCTTTATTTTAACGAAGATTACGTTTTAAAATTTTGCCGACACCCCGCACATCCAGCACACAAGGCATGGGACTCGCGCTTTACATGCAGAAGAAATATTTGCCTGACCCTTCATCCTGAATATACAATGCATATTTTCATTTAATTTTATTGAAATCAACAACAAAACTATGGAACAGTACTGACAATACGGTATTATGACAAACGCAGCGTGCATGGTGAATAAACACTAAATGAAGCAAGAGATGAACTCTTAACAGGCTTTAATTTGCAGTTAGGCTATTAGAGTGAGCCTGTGTTGTGAAATCTCTGCAATATGCTGAGCACCTTTTAATGGCTGCCACATCCTTAAAACAGCATCACTGTCCCCTCTGAAGCACTAGCTGGTCAGCTCTTAAATATGTGGGCTCGGATGACAATGTCTGTATTTTAAGAGCCAATGTGTGGTTTTGTTAACTCAGGAGTCTGACATGGAACTGGACTACAGGGTGATTTGTAAAAGGATAGCATGCAGACCATTAATAACAAAAATGGGAAGTTCTATAGCTAACAAAGGTGGGGACATGGAGTAACACGTAGGAATGCCCAGAAGAGTGATGACAGCTGCAAGCGATACCAGATATAGTTTAGGATTCTAAACATCTAACACTGATACAAAATTTTAGTCTTCCATTGTAACTGACAGCGAAACTAGGACTGGATTTTGGCTTCAAATAATTATACTATTAAAACTCACAGAACTCTGAGTACTCTTCTTTCCCCAAGACTTCCTGGGCCCAAGTATTACTAGAAATAACACAGTCCTCATTGTATAAATAATTATTTATGGTACTTTAATACTTATGCTTACAAGTTCTTTCAGATATTTATTTCATAAAAAGACCAATGATCCAGTCCAAAATGTCTCTGGCTCTGAAATCCTGGAAAAAAACAATCTGTCTGGAACTCGGTTTCCTTGATAAATAACTGTGACTGGTGATGCTGATAATTAACATTTTATAATCATCACCCCCAACAGCCATGGTTCTAAATGTTTTACACAAACTCAATGAATCCTCAGAAACTATGAGATGTAATATTATTATCCCCATTTTACAGAAGAGACTGGGAAAAAGAGGCTCAGTAACTTGCTTCAGGTCACAAAGGTAGGTTAAACCTATGATGCAAAGATTAAACCTTTGCTGCAAACTTATCGTGAATGGTGGAGATAAAGTCTTCCTATAAGGCCTCGTTGTCAATAGGTGACCAACAGTCATTGAAGAAAAGAGACGTTTCTTTAAAACAAAAAGACTTTTCAAAAATCCTTTTAGGATTACTGGCTCAGGCTCCGGCCTGGTTTCATGACAACACATTTCTTTACAAAAAGGAATGCTGGCCTGAGACAAGCGTCAAGTGCTTTCCTCCTCTACCAAGTACAGACTCTCTCCCAGAGAAGTACACCCTGACTTGAAATAGGAAATACGCTGTAAACATTAAGATCATCTCTGGCAAGAGGTGCTATGACATTACAATTTATCTGAATAAATTCTAAATGTTTTGTGAATCAGAGAAAGGAGCTGTTTGGTACTAGCATCAAATATTACGCAGTGCTCAATATGTTTTGTCATGACATTTAAAGGAGAAACAAAATTTATAACTCACTGTCATATTTTTGAACTACACATCACATGAGAACTTTAGAAACCAGCTGTAATAAATGCCCTCCAACTGAGAAGTCCCTGAGGACAGGGACTCTCATCTTTATGCATCTTTGCAGCTGCACTACAGTGCACTGCATGAACTAGAACTTAAGCATTTCCTGGAGACGTAACCGTATCAGTAAGGTATTAGAATCTATAGCCAAAAGCGGCAAAACATGAGTCCAATACTTGTATTTTCCTGAACTAAGTTTACAAACTGAATTGAAGAGAAATAAAATTGCGCCAGGTAATTCAATAATATGTACCACTGGTTCTTCTCAGGAATAAAAATCTGCTCTTCCTGTCAGTATTTTCACTTTCAAAAGGAAAAAAACAAAACACTTAATTTCAGCCTCTCTCATCCTAAACAGCTGAATCATTCACATATTCAACAGCCGGAATTCTTCCAAGAGCTATCATTGTTGGCTCTGTTTTTTGAGAGGTGCCGAATTTAAACCTTCCCTAAGACAGTAAGGAAGAATTAGGGGAAATTAACGAGATTCCCAAATTTATACAGGGACTGCGTTTATCGTTGACCGAGCAGGAATGAGTGTAAATGAATCTCAGGTGAAGGAAAATACTACGCTGAGAAAACGTACTCGTCTATCGCACGATTCCTGATCACGCGTCTACTCTGCACAACGCCCGGCGGGAAGCAAGCGGCCCCCACTGCCCGGCGCGGGCCTCCGGGGGCAGTCGGCGCGCAGCTCCCCGCCGCGAACGGAACCTCGCGGTCTCCGCACGGCGGCGGGACCCCTACCCCGACGTGGGGCCAAACGCTCGGCCCACAGGGACGTGGGGAACTCTGGGGCGCTAGGGGGACTCCGGAGGGCCCAGGGTGGCTTAGGGCCCATGGGGAGCTCTGGAGGTTCTCTGGGCGCTCAGGGAGATCGGGGAGGAGGGGTCCCGGGGAAGCCGCAGCGGGACGGGGGTCGGAACCGAGACGCCCTCAGGGCACGCGCGGACAGGCGCTCACCCAAACAGCCCTCGCAGGAAGGAGTGGGAGGCTTTGACTCGCTTCTCGGCCTCCGCCATCAGCTGCACGGCCTCACGCTCCTTCCCCGCGTTGTCCATGTCGCCGCCACTACCAAAGCCACCCCAACCGGCTCGCGATGCGCCCACAGCGCCTTCGCCTCCCTCCCCGGCAGCTCCCGGAGCGCAGGGGCGGCGCGCACGACCTATTGGGAGTTGTAGTCCGCGGCCCTGCCACGGCGGCGCGGGAGTGGGGCGCGTGGACTACACTTCCCATGTGGCCGCAGGACGGGCGGTGTGTGGTCCCGAGTTTCGGCGCGGGGGCGTGACCGTCTGGAGGAATCCTAGGCCAAAATCATCTTTAATCTTTGGAGTGTGTGGAAAATGGAAAATGACCCGTGACTTCCAGTAAAAACCACCTAAAAAACGCAGCACCATGATGGTTCGGGAATCCTTGCTGAATACGACTGACAAATGGCAATGAGATGGATGAAGGCACAGGGATTACAGACTGGAAGTCTCAGCATAGACGAGTTCTCCGACGCAACCACCGCAAGCAATTCCATCGCCATCTGATGCCCACCGCCCACCCACCAAAAGAATCCAACAGCTGGCAGAAAGAACCATTTTTATCTCCAAGAGCAAGACGGTTAGAAATGTATTATCTTCTCCAATAAAAATTTGGAGTTGTTTTTAAGTTCCCTAACTGCAGCTTTCTGTCGTCCTTCCTTAGTTATAAATGAATTAGCATTTAATATACACAATCCACTCTCTATATTGACTGAATTCTATGCTGTCTTATCCTTTACGTAATGCTGGCTCGAGGGGAGTGGGGGTAGGTATTCTGGGACAAAATCCCTGCCTGCCAGGAAGACTTCTTATCTCCTGGAAGTATCCATAGATGGATGAAATCGTGTGCCAGACTTGTAGGCCTGTTCCAGCGGTAGTTATTTTTTAATGCAGTGTCTAGACCGTTTACACTTGGCAGTGCTGAAGCCCAGATGGTGGAGCAAGTATGAGTATCACTGCCAAGTGAGAATTTGTGAAAATTTCAAACTATTAATAAATAACACCATGGACATTAGTGTGCAAAATTTAAGAAAATGAAGCCTGGCTTAAAGAGCTAGGCAAGAGGGGCCAAACTCCTAGAAAGAAAGATATCTAAACATATGTCACAGAGTTCATTTATTGCAAGAGACTACAAAGAGGAGGAAGTCTTGGATATCTGTGCAGAGCTTATTTACTATTCTTATATGCATTATTCTAACTTGGACAAGCTTATTTCATACTTTCTGAGCTGTATGGGGAAAGGAGTCAGGAGACTGGAGGTGGCAGTAAATGTAGGAATAAAAAGAGAAAAACTGTAAAAAGTGGACATAAGCATTTGAAAAATGCAACAGTCTATGAGGATTTAATGGAGTGGGACCAACTCAAAAGCTCCTGAATGCATCAGCGTGTTAATCAAAGCATTTCCCCAAACCTGGCTCAACTCAGAAACTCCAGGGTATCTTCAAGAAACGCTGATTTCTAGGCCACTAGCTTTTTGTACCAGGATCCCCTGGAGTTGCAATCTAGGAAGTATACGTTTTAAAAAGAACTCTCCACCACTGCTCTAAAGCAAACGGCAATTCTAGATTCTCAGCTGAAAAGGAGCCAGAATGGACTGACTACCTCCTCTAGAACAGCGTTTGCGATTAAGAGTGACGGGTATATCTTGAAATTTTCGGTTGTTTCTGGGCATTTCCCTCACTCTTTCCCACAGGAAATCTAAGAACACTCTCATCCTCCCTCTAGTCCACATCCAAGTGGGGGAAAAACGCCAAAGAATTGATTACTGTGTAGAGTGTGACCCTAACACTCTGCAGCATGCTTTTTCCTTTTCAAAATGGGCAACTGAGAGCTTGACATGACTAACACCACAATGAACCTATGTCTTATTCTGCCTGCCTTCTCCTCTTCACATATTTTTGTTAATGACTTTGTTTGTCTGACCACCTGTGACTTAACGATGCCCCACATGGAAATTAGAGCCCAGATGTCTGGCATGTATATCTTTAGCCTGATAAAGAGATGTCCGGCATGTATCTCTTTATTCTGATAAAGAGTCTCTTGTAATTATCTTGTAATGAATAACTCATCCAGCCATGCCATCTGCAGGCTACATGCCCAAAGACACTTTGAAATCCTTGTAACAGCAATACATAAGCTCTAATGTAAAATTGCCTTTCTGGACTCCATAAAGACAGCCTGCGTTGCTGCCGGACTGCCTGTTGATGTCATTTCCTAAATAAACTTTCTCTCTCTTTCTGACTTGGAGTACATTTCATTGGCTCGACTGCTCCAGGGCACGGACCTTAATTGGACAACGTAGAGCAAGTGTTTTCTCCTCCTGTAAGGCTAGGTGAGGGGAAGGGTGGGGGAAAGAGATGAATCTCACAGAATAAAGACAAACTGGAGGGACAGTTGAGGAATCCTCAGAACAGGAGGGAAAATGAGAGCCACCCACGGTGTGGACCAAAGAGGTGACAGAAGTGCCTCGGAGTAGGAGCCATCCCGGGGTAGAGCCAAAGAGTCCATGGCCTAGACCTGTGCCATCCAGTATGGTGGCGGCTAACACATTCAGTTGTTTACATTTAAGTTAAATAATAGCAATATTTAAATGAAATGTAAAATTCCATTCCTCAGTTGCCTAGTAACTTTTCAAGTGTTGTACTGGAATGCACAGATATAGAACATTCCCACCACTGCATAAAATTCTAATGGATAGTGCTGGTCTGTACACAACTTGCCTTGTAGTAGCACTGGATGCTTGTAAGAAAAGAGGCAAAAAGCCTTCAGACACTTTCTGGGTACACGGAGCAGAAAAGGAGGACCCCGTACCCTGAACAATGCAAAACCAAACAGAACCTGCTGGCCTTTCCCTATATACAGATCAGGGTGGACCCTCGGACACTCGAGTGAATCAACATACAAGAGGCTAGATCGGACTGTCAAGTGTGCGCTCACCCCACCTGAGCTGTTTGAGAACACGCAGCTCTGAGAGGCAGGGTCAGAAAATGACTATATGGAAAAAGAGGTGTGACCATCGGCATGTGTTCTTAGAAGGAGGTGCCTTGTGGGGACAGTGCTGTGTGGAGTATAGCAATGAGAGAGGGAGCAGAGGGTGTGAATGCAGGGCACCTCCAGGATTGCATGGCCTGGTGTCCTGCCTTGCCAGACAATTTCCCAGTGTACTGGGAAGTGTCCACCATGGAGCTGAGTGCAGCTGGGTCTCGCTACTCAGTGGTTCAGCTGCAGCTACCATTTATTGAGCTCCCTTAGAGCCATCTGGAGCCCTGGTGGCTGCTAACCAAAAGATCGGCAGTTTGGATTCAGGTGCTCCTTGGAAACCCTATGGGGCAGTTCTACTCTGTCCTGTAGGGTCGCTATGAGTCGGAATCCACTCTATAGCAACGGGTTGGTTGCTGGTTTGGTGTCATCTAGCACCGCTCTTTCTGCTTCCACAGTCAGTGGGAAACTTCTGACCATGATTAGCGCTTAATGTTTCCATGCTTACTGGTCCTAGCTGTCAGCACATGCAGTTCTCCTCGAGGGTTCTCTTTGGGCTTCCAGGCTACTCTGCTTGTGTATGGGAGTGGGGGGTGTTAATTAACTTCATTAACAGGGGAATCAGTGCCTCTTTGCCCGCTAGGAGCAGCCGTCAATCAATGACTGTTGGGAAGTTGGAAGATGTCTTAGTCTGGGTTCTCTAGAGGAGCAAAACCAGTGAAGCACATGGAGAGAGAGAGAGAGAGAAATTTTCTTTAAGGAAATGGCTCACACAATTGTGTGAGCTGGCATCCCAAATCTGTGGGTCAGGTGACAGGCCGAAGACCTCTGCTGGCTCATGAGGTTGCAGGGGTTGGCAAATCCAAAATCTGCAGGTCAGGAGGCAGGCCAGAGACTTCGGCAGGTTTACATCCCAGGAACCAGAGGTCAGGCAATGAGAAGAGTGCAGAGTCAAGAAAGAGAGAGCTTTGCCAGAACATCCATTTATATACTGGAGGCAGGCCACACTCTCAAGGAAACTCCACTTTCAACTAATTGGCTGCTCACATCAGGTCACAAAACGGAAGGGGGATTACATAGTGTCTACCAAACCACTGACAATCATAGCCTAGCCAAGTTGACACATAACATTAAGCATCACAGAAAATAAATACCCAAATTTCCTCTGCCAAAAATTCAAGTTAGATTCACAAGAGGGCATGGAACGAGGGCTATCATTGCTGATGTCAGATGAATCTTGGCTGAAAGCAGAGAACCAGAAAGATGTTTACTATGTTTTATTAACTATACAAAGGTATTCAACAGTGTGCACCATAACAAATTATGGATAACATTGCAAAGAACGGGAATTCCAGAGCACTTAATTGTGCTCAGGCAGAACCTGTACATAGACCAAGAGGCAGTAGTTTGAACAGAACAAGGGGATACTGTATGGTTTAAAATCAGGAAAGGTGTGTGTCAGTCTGTGTGCTGAGCAAATAATCCAGGAAGCTGGACTATCTGAAGAAGAATGCGGCATCTGGATTGGTGGAAGACTCACTGACAACCTGCAATATGCAGATGACACAACCTTGCTTGCTGAAAGTGAAAGAGGACTCGATGAAGATCAAATACTACAGCCTTCAGTATGGATTGCACCTCAATAAAAAGTAAACAAAAATCCTCACAACTGGACCAATTAGCAACTTCATGATAAATGGAGAAAGTAGTGAAGTTGTCAAGGATTTCATTTTGCTTGGATCCACAATCAACGCACATGGAAGCAACAGTCAAGAAATCAAAGGACGTATTACATTAGGCAAATCTGCTGCAAAAGACCTCATTAAAGTGTTGAAAAGCAAAGATGTCACTTTGAGAACTAAGGTGCGCCTGACCCAAGTCATGATATTTTCAATCGCCTTGTATGCATATGACAGCTAGAATATAAATAAGGAAGACCGAAGGAGAATTGATGCCTTTGAATAACAGTGTTGGTGAAGAATATTGAATATACCATGGACTTCCAGAAAAACAAATAAGTCTGTTTTGGAAGAAGTACAACCACAATGCTCCTTTGAAGCGAGGATGGCGAGACTTCATCTCACGTATTTTGAACATGTTATCA